GTCGGTCGGTCGGTCGGTCGGTCGGTCGGTCGGTCGGTCAGTCAGTAATATCAGTTAATAAATAATACCATGAAATACTAAATACCAAATACATAAATGAACAATAAAACAACTGCATAAATAAATTAATACAATTTAACAGGTATGTAACCAATTAAAGTAAAACAAAATAATTGCTTAATTAATTAAATAAAGCCAACTAAAAAATAAAAGCTAAATAAGAATTAAAAAGTATCTTAACGCGTAAACATATAGAATCAGCTCATGGTAGTAATATAAAGTTAGAAGAGAAGAATGCGATAATAGGCAGATTAAGATTCCCGTTTTTTCTTCCCGCAAACGGCAAACGTGACCATGTTTTCATCGTTACCCTACATTTCACTTTACCTTTTGCAAACCTTCTCGACAAAGACAAGTATTCTTATTTTTATCTACTACTTGGAGATCATTGCGATTCCTTTTCACTAATTTTAAAGAATTTTTTAATGGTCAAGTGACGTTTCACATTTGCCGTAAACGAGAAGCTTAACCTCTCTAATTATTTGATGGTTACCCTAACTTTGGCTTCTTCCACCTCAAGGGCATTGGATATGTTTTCTCGTTCTTTGTTTGACGGGTATGGATTCAACTCGAATTCCTTCTCCAAACATTTCATTTGGTGTCTTGAAAACCTCATTCGCTGCCTCCTTAAGGGACTCTTAGATGTGTGAAAGAACCTCTTTTCATCTTCAGATTCTTCTTGAGGTAACACTGCTTTCCATTCTACGAGATGAGTAGAATGCTCTATCAGTAAATTCGTTATGTTATTAAGCCACATCTCGATAACTTATGTCGAGTTCAGAACTTTTGCCTCGTCGAATTTAATAGCCTTTGAGGTCGAGAGAGATCCTCTGATTCAAACGAATTTAATTCCCCGCTCGCAATGAACTCAAACGCCATCTTGGTTCAAGACGACTGCAACTGCGCATGTTTTTCATAGATAGCCGCTGTAATATAGAGCCTTTATAATTGATGCATTGATTTTGACGCCACGAAAGGTCGACGCTCGAATCAACGCTAATCCTTGGTTGTTTTTCTTTGGAATTAGATTGGTTCAAACATTGCACTTGTCATATACGAAATGCAACTGTTGGATTCGACGCGGCAAAAGTTGGACGTGTGAACTAGACCTTACTTATCATGTCTCCTGACAAACTTATACCATCGATCCATACCTCAATCTATCGATTCATCTACCTATCCATCTTCATCTTTTCTCACTACCTCACAACATCCACCTCTACTTCTTATACCATCCATACCTCACTCTATTCATCCATCTACCTATCCATCTTCATCTTTTCTCACTACCTCTCAACATCCACCTCTACAATTTATACCACGAAATATTTATTACATATTTAAGGAAAAAAACTCAGTATAAAATAGTTGTGCGATTATTCTACCTTGACACGAGTCATTAGAGTATTCCTCTTCGGTCTTTTGTCTTTCATAGCCAGTTGAACGTATCACTTGTACTGGATGATAAGTTACGGTAGTTTTCGTTGTCCTGATATTATCCTTGCTACTGAGAATATTATCGATGGTATAATTAGAATTGATCTTTCTTTCGTGATTAATATTATGATGACTATCCTTTTCGAATTCATTATTAATTTTACTTCGCTCCTGTTCAGAACACTGCTGCTTAATCTTGCTCTTCACGAGTCGGTTGATTGAGCTGAGCGAAGGAAGTGATGTCTCAAAACAGACATTCTCTCTCAGCAATCGCTCTCGAATCTCCCAGGAGAATATTCCCGGTTGTTCTTTGCGGTACCTATCGATGTGCATTTCAATCCATGGTGTTATCACTCGGGGTCTGCCTGCGGTGCCGTGCCCTGGCACCAGAGAACCGGTCTTGAAGAATTTTGATAGCAGTTTACTGATACACCCATGAGTGATTTTCAGCTGTCGACTTATTTCACAAGGACGGATTCCGCTTAAAGATAGCTCGATAACTTTTCTGCGCATTTCGTTAGACAGTGGCTTCCCGTTCCTATAGCTGCCTCCAAGTTGATTAACACGATTGTCTAAAGGGAGAAAATAGATGAATTGTAAATGGGTTGAATGAATGAATAAATGAATACATTATTTGAAAGGTGGATAAATACATAAATGATGAGTGAAAAAATGAAATGAAAAGAATATTGAAGTGAATAGTTTTTGAACGAAAGAAAAAATGAAGAAAGAAAGAAAGGAAGAATGGTGGATCAATTAATAAATTAATGAATGAATGAATGTAAAATACCTATTTACTCTTATATTTGCATGTTTATATTATGTATAGTTTCATTTCGGATAACCTTTTTTTTTAACCAACCTTTTGACTAAGAACATATATTTTGAGTTGTGTTCAATTAAAATTTTCATGCATTATTTTCACCATATCTCTATGAAGTAAAAACAGAATATTACATGGGCGCTTGGAGATACGAAATTTAATATCCTCTATATCTCTATTAAGTAAAATATTTTTTATATATTGCGTTGAATGCGAATAAAAGCTACCTACTTTTTTTTTTTTTGAAGCCAGTTTCGAGAGTTTCACTATGCATAATAACCGTTTTAGGTCGACTGATTTCATCACCTTCCCCCCAGGCAATACTTAGTAGTTATATGCGGGTAGTTGTAGACATAACTCTTATTGTTTTATTAAATTACTTTCTATTTTTACGCAAACTGATTGCTACTATTTCCAGGGTGAATTAAAAGCAATCTAACAATAAATATTCGTTATAAGTTACTACTACTTCAAAATATTTTAGAAAATTTTCTGAATTATTTTTATAAGATTTGTTTTGGTTTTAGCTTCGCCGTTCTTTGATCATTTTTTAAGATATTAACTTTCAATCCATTTAATTTTTTTCTTAACTAAAGGAAAATTTTTTTGATTAATCTCTTTGATACTAGCCAAAACACAACGGACGAGTCATTCAGAATTCTCAGTTCTCGTACTAAATTCGTTGTTAAAGCATTGGAAATTAATGCTTTTGTTTACTATACTTAGTAGCGAATTTTTCCAAAGCGTGATATCCGTATTTTGAATTGCAATCAAGTGGAAAATAGTTTATGCTTTCTGTACTGCTAGCTATAATATATTTATTAATATTATTAATATTATAGCAAAAATACATTTATTAGAAGATTATTTTAGCTTTAAGATTTATTTATCATCAATTCAAAACGATACCTTTTCCACAATGTTGCAGTAACCGAGTTTGCTGGTCAATGAATTAGCTATAAAATCACGTAAACTTCTTCTCGACGACCCGCTAAAAATTGCAAAAAGAGACCTTTATCCTTTCCATAAATCTGTAATTTATTATTAAACTTCAAAAGTTTCAATTTTACCACTAAAAATCGACATCAATCAATCATAGCAAAGAAAAAGTTATTTGAGGGTAATTTTAGATTTGTCGGTTGAAATACTAGATGTTTCTAGACACGAGTGTACATAAACAATACTGTGTTCTTCAAAACTGTGACACAAAAACGAAACAAAACAAAAAAAAAAACACGACAAAACAAACCAAGTAAAAAAACCCGTTACCTGAGATGGACATAGATACAAGTGTATTCATTGTTATTTGATCCATCTTTTAAATTTCCAGTGGAAAAATGTCTTTGATTATTTGCAGCTCTTTATAGTACTTTAACGATTTGAGACAAATATTACTGATGAATCTGTTGCGTGTTCGAGCGATGGAAACACAATGAAAAGCATCTCGATGTTCAAGGCCCATGGGCTTCGATTATAGGTCATTTAGATGGAGGGTAACTTAGGCTGTGGTCACGATAATTTTTTGACCATTTATGCTAAAGATGAAAATTAGCCATCAATTACAAGTCGGATCGCAAGTTGCTTGGGGCACCAAAACACGTTAAAAACCTAAAACGGAAGACTGAATCGATGTCTTTTGGAATCTTGAAGCTGAGACACACAAACTTATGAGAATATATTTACTTTTTATTCTAAATATTTACCCAAGCGGAAAAAATGTTTTCTTAAGAATTTCAAAATTTGTAAAAAATTTGTAACTTTGTCTTAGACCAAAAAAAAAAAAAAAACACACCGAATTACAAGAAGAAACGTTTTGCATCCTTTCCATTGGCGCCTATGTTTTGAATATTCAAACAAAAAATATTCAATCAAAAAATGATGGCTACAAATTTTCTTGATATGGCAATAAAAATGTAGATAGTTAAAATGTTGCGATGTTTGTTTGATGGTCTAAAATCATGGCTAGCAGAAAGCTTTTCTCTTTTCTAAATATGACTTATTAAAGTCGTTTTTTCTTGCGAATATTCAGGAAAGAATGATCTAATATACTTTTCCTTTTATTTTTAATGGATGGATGGATAGATGGATGGATGGATGGATAGATGGATGGATGGATAGATGGATGGATGGATGGATGGATGGATGGATAGGCATATCGAAGCTCAATACATTACTCATAGATTAAATGTAAGATAAATAATAATAGCTTTTTGCAAATAAATTCTTCTTAGCCAAATGTTCAGTTCAAAATAGAGGCTTTGCACTATCACGTGATGGCAGCCATGACAGGAGGCAGGAACAATCGACTCTGGTCGAATCTGATTTACACGAGAAAGAATTCAATTTCTAATTGGAAAAAGAATCTATTGCTGTACGTCCTGTCATGGCTGCTATCACGTGATGGTGCAAAGTCTCTATTATACACTATACACCATATCCCAACAACGAATGACGTCACTACCACCCATTACATCATAAAATAGACAAAAATCGAAGAAAAAATTCCTGTTTCAATTGACGTAAGGGTTTTTATATCTTATGAATATCTGGAAACGTCATTTTGATATTCCTATTTTGTTTTCTTCTCTTGCGAAAGCGCCAAAAAAGAAATAATGCTAAAGGGAATGACAATTTTTGTTGTGTTGTTTTTTATTTGCTGTGTTGTTTTTTTGTTGTTTTTTTTTGTTTTGTTTTGTTTTGTTTTTTTTTTTTTTGAGTGTGTATTTTTCCACCTATACATATATGAAAACTTCATGACGTACAATTTGAAACTGAAAACTAATAATATGCAGTCAGTAACAACAAGATAAAATATGTAAGACAATCAAGATTCAGTGTGCTCTACTTTTTCTTCTTTTCTAGCCTCTTATAGGTGTATGTGTATACATGCACTACTTGACAAGCTTTGCTTAGGACAAAAGGCATCGATAGGCTTATAAAGTGGTAGAGAAAATTCATTAAACTATTGAATGTTTCGAACCTTCAAAAAAGTATGCATCAAATTGGTCAAAATTACTACCAGTTTAGTTCTTCTTGGTTTTGAGCTACAGAATTATTTTTAGACCTCTAAAGTCACCTAGATTAACACGTGCAAGACATATCTACAAAAAAAGCTTTACTCAAATTCAAAACTTCATGTACCTTGAGCCTGCTAAGCTAAGTTGCTTTGTGCTATCATCCATTTTCTTCAGTTGTGAAGCAAGAGTGTTTACAAAAATGGCGGCTCGTAGTTTACACACTCACACAGCCCGCTACAAAATAATCATATTATATACTTGGAGGATTCCACGCATATATAAACTTGCATGTTGGTTTTTACGCAGTTTTGGTGTTCTTAATGCAAGGTTAGCGTCTATAAATAAGAAGTATTCTATATCCTTAGAGCTAGATGTTTGAAATAAAGAAGCCTGGTAGAGCATAGCGATCTCACAGGCACCATGTAGTGTGCAGAGTGAACGATTTGCATGGACAGAGATTGACAGGATTTTTTCCAAAGAAAAGATTTCTAACCCTTCGATTAAACAAAACTCGATTCTCTTGGAAAAATTTAACAAAGTTTTTATAGAGAACATTGTTGTTTTGCAAAACAAGTTAACACTTTAACAAGTTAGACACTTGTTTTGAATCATATACCCCATTCACACCTAAACGTGTTTAGTTAATGTTTTCATTAGGAAAAAAATTGAGAAACTAGAAACCTACAATATAATGAAACTTTCTAAAATATTATCAGAGCAAGACAAAGGATAGTTTACATGCATTATTTTACCAAATATTGTGCAGTGTTCGTAGATAATTTTTCAGACCTGTTTAGTTAAACCACTTTAAAACATGTTTAAGCCTTGGTGCGAATGGGGTAATAGTGTGTTAACTAAATTTGGCGTCGTAGCAAGAACATTTACTTAGAACCACACTGATGCTCGGTAATAGTCTATGACTATGGTACTAACCTCACCAATAGCTATGATCTGTAAGTTTTCTTTATCTGGTAGAAAGAATGCTTTACAGTTGAATGCGGTAGATGTACTATAGAAATATTGTTATAGCAAATCACCAAGTCACGTATGATTTCTCGTGAACTGACACTGTTTCTCGTCAGTTCGTTACGTTATTCTAATAAACTTTTAACTTTTATGCGGTGTCTTTTCAAGTCTTTTGTAAGTGTAGTTATTTAAATTTTTTTTTTCTTTCGTAGCTATGAGTTGTTTTTGAAGCATATATACCGTTCCTTAATACTCGTTTGGTCGATGATGCTATGTGTTATAAAGTACACTACCCCTTGCAGGATATTCTCAATGCAGTCCAATTCACAGGACAACACAATAAAATTTGACTCTCATAAGTGAATTTCATTGCTTTGTCCTATAAATTGAATCAATAAAACAGAAAAAATAAGTACCATAGCTAGATAAAGCATTTTAATATCAGCAAAAATGTGAAGTTCTAGGAAATAAGTTCAAAACTATATTTGCGCCGGGAATGTGTGATATCTGTAAGAAACCTTGGCTGTAAGCTGTGAGTTTTGGAATTACGTGATGGAAGCTCATTGCTGCAAGGGGTCTCTATATACGGCTAGAATACTAGTCAAGAGAGAACGTCTCTAGCGAACGATAAACTAATTATCAAATATGCCAAGAACCTGAAGGGCCTTGCGTGTCCAGCTGGCGTCCAGCGATACTTTAATTGGTGGTCCTAGTAAAACATCATTCAGCGCAAACGCTAAGGTGAAAAAGTGTTTATATTACCTATGTTAACTATGGGTGAAGAAACATTAAGGTCTTAGATTAAGAAATTTGAACAATTTTAAGAACTTGAAAATATATGGTTTTTGGATCCGATAATTTGAACGCACGAATCCAATCAACGAACATCACAAATCAATACCGTTAAGAGTCTGTCACGCTTTTGACGATGGTGATTATTGATCATGAAACCCTAACATCTTTCAATAAACTGAATGCACAAACGATGCCTGATTTGTGTTCTAAACCGATACGATCCAATAAACCAAACAGTTCACATTCAGAACCCTGTACAAATCCTAATCCCTATCTCCCCTCCCTATTGTCTTCGACGACTTGTCCCCCCTGGATTATAGATCGCGTGCTTTTAGCCTGAATTTTCTCTAGTTTGTAAACACGGGCTCCTTGAAGGAGGCGGGAGCTATTTTGTCTTCACTCAAAACTAATATGTAGATTTTATCGTTCTCGCTACTCATGATCATCCAGGAAATTTTCAATGATATTTTCTAAACGTTTGGTTAATTTAATGTAGATAATTTGTGAACTGAGGTTGTATTGTACCAGAGAAGAAAATCTATTCACATCCTTTGGGATAGTATGTGTTGTTGCGTCGGTCTTGGGCTAATATTAAACTGACCAAGCGAAAAAGAAAATATTTACGAATTCACATCGAGTATTGATGGCCAATTTGAGGAATAAAGCTGTTTACAATAAGATATTCCACTTGCTTTATGAGCAGAAATTTTCCCTGTTATAGAGCTGTATTTATCGTAATTGTCAGTAGTTTTTTTGGTGAATTTTTTCATGCTACTCTAGAGTAACATGAGAAAAATGAGTGAATTCGATATGGAACATTAATGTTAGACTTCAATGAAGCTAATATGCTACATTCGATAAAGTTCTCGTTCTACAGGAACACAAGTTTGAACTTATCAAAGCAGTCAGTTTTCTTGTAACTCTTATTATATGTATTTGTCCGCGGCAGCTTAATCCAAGGTTGATTATTTGCTAACACGATGTAACCAGTAAGATCTCGAATAAACGAGATTTATATGAATTTCTCCCTCAGAAACTTTAAAGTACACAAAAATGATAACTATTCTAAAAAGCTCTCTGACGTGGGAAATTTTGCGCTGCTTAGTATTTATGACAAGAACAGAAAACGATATTTTTCTCGGCTAGCGCGCGCAATTCAGTATACCAATGGTAAATCATTTAAACCTGAAACTGTACTTCAAAAATGCGTGTTACAAATAATACACGATAACCATGTCTTAATAGCAAGATACTCGCACACCAACACATTTATCCAACTTTTCTTGCTAGTAGAGCTGGATTAACATTGTTCATATGAAGAATAATTTTACAATGACTTGGCTAAACCACTAGCTGCTAAAGCGCCTAACAGGGCAACGTGCTCGATTAGCTTATTTTCAATAGTATTTTACCTGATGATGGATCACGCTTTCCAGATTTCTTCATCTTCTGCAGGCGAAGAGTCCTGAAATCGATTTGGACAAAATCCTTGTTAAAATCAAAAAGGTCCTTCGGTTCGAAAATTCAAATATCCGAGAGCGTTGAAAACTTTGGAGCCAAACCATATCATGTAACATGGCTTCCGAAACCCTTACCGTGTTCCAGACGTTGCGGTTGTTAAGGCCGTTGTTCGGTAATTTTAGCTAAAGGAGGAATAGAAACAAAGAGCATTAAGACAAGTCGGGCCATTACGAGGGGATGAGAGGGCGAAGTAATTGTCTAGTATTAATTCAAACAAGGTCGTCTAAAAAAACCCTCGCTTCTTTTCATTTAGCAATGTCGCCCATTCCGCATATCAGTTGGAATCGATTCCTAGAACAATTCCGGCGTTTGTGAGATTTGTTAAAGCGGTAAAAACCCGTAAATAGCCAGATTTAAGCTATAAATCATACGGACACATGTCTCAAGTCAAGTCGCTATTCCGTAAAAAGTAGACCAACCTATGAAGTGGTTAAGGATTAGTTAAATACATTCATTCAATTATTATCGACATAATTGGTGGGAATATTTGGTATATATTCCATGACCAGTTATGGCTAGTTAAACACGACTTGAACAACATCTCCATATGCATGGTGGTAATAGATAAGACTAAAACAAAGTGCGTGCGCGTAACTGGACAGCGCTTGGAGGATATGTTTGATCACTTGACTCTTATATAAGAACTGATAACAAAATGATTGAGCAAGTGGCCTCTCAAAAACGACAGTCATTAGACCCTTCTATTAAGCGGACACCCTAAGGACATTGTCTGGTGTCCGCTTAGCAAAAGGGTGTCTGCTTAATAGAGGTGCTACTGTATTACTGATTATTATAGATCAAGAAACATTGCGGGCACGTCGAGATATTTCTGTAAGAAATCTTTTTATCATTTAAATACTGTTCTATTTAAGAGGAAATTTTTTTCAATAACGAGCAATAATGGCCAAAAGCGCCAAAAACTAGACTTTCGTATGAGTTTTGATCCCTATTTTCGTTTTGGCGGGGTTAACACTCAAAACCTTTTTTAAACGGTTAGAAACTGATGTACTATGATAAAATGCTTGTTTGAAGCGGTATTTTCAATTGTACAAAGATGTTTTGTTGCATTTGTGTTAGAATGTAGCTTTGTCAGGCTTTTTTATAGAAAATGTATGGGAAATAAGCAAATGAAGGCCTARACCTCATTTTCGAATAAAATTTTTGCTTTGGGTTAACACTTTGATTCCATTTTCATCCGGTCATCTCCACTTCCAAAATTTCTGAATAACAAGATTTTAGCCTTGTACAACAGCCTTTCTTCAAGAAAATAGTTTTTGGCGCTCACTGCTTGAAAGAAAATAATTCTCCCTTAATAGATAAAGTCGATTATTATTATTATTATTATTATTATTATTATTATTCTTTCACAGTGTCCAGTGTTGCCTACCAGTGGTGTGGTTATTGTCTGGCCAAACACCCCCAATAAGCTTTCAAACAATAACCACAGACCGACAATAACCATGAGTAATATTGGCATTCGTGGATAGAGAGGTAATGTTTTGCGTGACATGACTTTTAATTTCCCAGAACATCTTTTGTTCACGATACAACAAAGCTGCCATGAAATCCTCGCATTCGCTTCTTGGAAACAATCACACCCGCCTACCTCCCCCCCCTCCCCCCTCCTCGAGATTCACTCGTATATGCATTTTCAAAATTTCGAAATTGAAAATACAATAGTAATGGTACACCCCTTTTATAACACGTTACGTGGCGTCCGCTCCGTCTTTCCCAAGGCAGTATTTATCCATCCAGCTCTTAAACACCTCTCACTTCTCTGGAGCAGAGTTTGTTAGGTCTCTCCCTCGATTCGAGTTTTTTTTCCTCCGCTAAATATTATTAGCCCACTAGAGTGTTTCAGGGATAGATATGTGAGTTAGCTGTGCCATGACTTATATCAGCCTAGAGCGCCCTAGAGGTTGTTTTAGACTTCGATCTGTAAGTTAGCTGTTTAAGTCTGTGAGTTAGTTGTGCCGTGACTTAGATCAGCCCAGAGGTTGTTTCAGGGTTTGATCTGTGAGTTAGTTGTGCCGTGACTTAGATCAGCCCAGNTGACTTAGATCAGCCCAGAGGTTGTTTCAGGGTTTGATCTGTGAGTTAGTTGTGCCGTGACTTAGATCAGCCCAGAGGTTGTTTCAGGGTTTGATTTGTGAGTTAGTTGTGCCGTGACTTAGATCAGACCAGAGGTTGTTTCAGGGTTTGATTTGTGAGGTAGTTGTGACGTGACTTAGATCAGCCAAGTTCGATAAAAGGTTTCGTTTGTTGGTCCATTGAAGACCAGACGAGGTTGTCGTGACAACCACCATTTTAAGTGGCTGCGGCAGTATTAGTCCTACCCTACCCATACATAGCATAATGTGTCATGGTCCATTTAGCGAATTAACGTTTTCTGTATAAACAAAAAGGTTCACAAGTAATGCCTGTCTAGTTTCGAAACCAAATTGGGAGAGTTTGATTTTACAGTGGTGACACTTGAACCATGAAAACGTCGGTTTTTTTTTGTCATTTCAAAATATGAATACTTTAAATGAGATTAAGAAGAGGATAAAAAAGATCAATCAATTAAAGAAGAGAAAAAAAGAACAATGAGAGGATGACGATAAAAAAGAAGATAAAGAATTAAAGATGTCGAGGAGGAGGAGAAGAAGAAGAAGGAGAAGGAGAAGAAGAAGAAGAAGAAGAAGAAGAA